TAGGCTTGGTTTTTTATCCAACCGTTTTAATTGTATAATCTAATCTAATTTTTAAAATTTAATTTAATCATTTTTTTTTTGAAATTTAACATAACCAAGTAATTCATGTTGTAAACTAACTTAGGGTTTTTTTTCCTAAAACACAAGATAAAGATATAATAAATTTATATTTTTTAATTAATTGTTATTAAAAATGTATATATTAACCCCACTTTTATTTATTTATTAATTAAAATAATAAACATATCAATAGTATTAAAATATATATTAATTTTTATAATTTTTATATAAATTAATCATAAAAATATATATTTATACTTAAAACATACCTTAGATACACCCATTGACTCATAAACTGAAATTTTATCTTCTTCATATTATAAAGGTAAGTGTGTTCTTACTTTCTTTAATTTAGAAGTAATAATTTTATATATTTTTTTCGCTCTTTGCTCCTCTCAATCTTTTTCATTCGGTAAATAATTCTAAATTTTGTTGGTTGCTATCATTGCTGTGGAGTCTTTTACGCTGGATTTCTGCAAGGAGTGGAAGAAGGCAAAGAGCATTCTTTTTGGGTGGTAGTATCTTCGTTTTCTTGCCAAGCAGCAATTGTTGGATCAGATCGGGGACTATAGGCAATCGTGTGTATTTCATTTTACCCAAGCATTTCCGGCATCGGCGCAAAGTTTCAAAAACCAGTAAGCAGACTTCGACCAGTTCTTTGCTTTAATGGGTAACATTTTCGAGGAGCCTTTGGATAACACGAGAATGAAGCGCCAAACCATTTAATCTCTTGCATCTGTTACAAAATTTTTTTAATAAGATTCAAAATTTATTCTAAAACAGAACCAGAACAGAAATTTAAAATCGTATACGGTGAATCGTTGACGTACGTCATCAGAACGGTGACGAAATCCGAAGGACAACGGGCGGGGAACTGAGATTGGAGAGAATATAAACGACTAGACCGTCCGGCAAAGAATCCAACAAATCGGACTCTTCCGCCGCCATCTCCTGCAAGAATATCTGCCATGTGTTCCCGGCGAAATCCATGCGCTTCACAGCTTTCTTCTCCGCCCACAAATTCTTCCTCGGCCAGTATGCCCGTAAGGCCTTTTTAATCAGCTCCTGTACTCTTGAATTAGTAGCACATCAGCCCCCATACTCTTGAATTGTTAGCAAATCAACCCCCTCAACTAAAAATGGTGGCTTATAAAGTATAAACGCCCAAACTTGAAAATCAGCCCTTTTGTGATGGATGATATCAAAATTTGGTTAAAATTAACGGAGCACGGATTTAGGGGTGATTTCCTAGCTTACATGGATGCCAGTCTTTTGCCGTTTGACAGGACGGAAAATGAATTAGAAATAAATTTTTTATTAACTTTTAGAATGATTTAATATATTATTTAAATAATTAATTTTATTTATTTATTTAAAATATATAATATTAAATTTATTTATTTGTTTAATAATATATAAAAGATATACAAAAATATTATAAAAAAACTATCTTTATATCATTGCCTTTAACATGACCTAATCATTAAACTAATTGTTACTCTTAAAATCCTAATAGCGATAGAAATTGCAATGAATTCACCTATTTTTACAAGAAAAGTATAAAAAGGATTTATCAATGACCCTCTTCTTCCATTCAATATTTTCCTATGAAAAGGCTATTGGAAGAACGCCGTGAAAAATATAATACACTTAAATCAGATGATTGGTAGGAAGGAGGGATTAATTTCTACACTGAGCTCAAATTTGCTTTGGAAGTACACCAAGTACTGGGGTTAAGGTAAACAAGTATTAACAAGAATTAAATTAAAGCACCGGTAATGAAATAAACTAAGGACAAGTGTTGAAAATTAACTAAATAAAGTACAAAAAAATATAGTTAAACTGAAACTAAAACTATAGAGAGAAAATGTAAATCTAGTAGAAATCTAGAAAACATAGTAGAAAAGTAAAAGATTCTAAATTTAATTGAAATTGCAAACATGTTTGTATTAATATCAAATTGAATGTTTAAAAATTGAAAAACTTAGTAAAAGCAAACCAAAATAATAAGAAAAAGTCAAAAAACTAATCTTACTAAAAAAAAATTAAATCAACTAAGAACAAAATTCCACTGAGGACGTTCATCTACTTCTACTAGACTAAAAACCTAAAGAAAAGATGCTAGAAAATGATCTAAAACTAAGAGATCTCTAGGTTAGACTAAACTAAGGGATGCTCAAAAAACAAAGAGTTTCGAAAGATAAATGATTTATGTTGAAAGGTTGGCTTGTGTATATAACCCAATAATATCTTCAAAATTAAAATTTATAGGCTTCCATAACTACCCCAACTCAGTAAAAAAATCAAATCTGAACCACCTCTCCATCCACAATTAAACATGATCTCAACAACCCTGATTTTCTCTCCTTCATGTACCTTGCCAGTTAGCCACAAACAAGAAAAACACAACCATAATCTAGCAAAAATCTATCAGATGAAATCTCTAAAAATTAGTCCCATCTTTCTCTATTTAACTGAGTCAATTTTTTTTTAAATTAATGATCAAATCTCTAGCATTCTCAAAGGATAAGAATTTGACTTCTAATAAAATACCAATCCATGAGATTTAAATAAATAAAGTTCAAAAGTACTTAAATAGTACTCTCCTTTAGGTCATATGATTCTTTTTAACCAAACAAACTCTCCACTGTCAAATTTACTTCCAAAATAAATAAAGTTGGACTCTCTGGACTTAACTAATAAAAATACTAACAACTCCAACCCAGTAAAAATAGTTCATACCAACCCATAGCAGCATAAAATGAACTCTATTGTATCGTATCACAGCCAAATAATTCATAATAAATCACGAAAAATTAATGGCTGTTCAATCTCGAGACACATGGCATCATCTTAAAAAAATTACTAATTGTGGTGTAAAAACCAGTTAATTAATATCATTAAATCTATGTTAAATGTAATTAAATAAGAGAAAAATATGTTTTTCTAGTATAGATTGTACAATATCATGGGTGGATCCTAAACAAAAAATGCTAATTATATAACCACACATTATTGTAAGTTTACAATGCCACATGGCATTATAACTATAGAATATATTTGGATTAACTATTTTGATGCTGTTGATTACTGATAGTTAATATTTAACAACTGATAATCATTATTATTTATAACTCAAAATATATAATTCGTTCAACTGAAACTACCAATTGATAACTGTTCTTCAAACTCAAAAACAAATGCCTACATAACATTTTCGTATATCTTTTTAGCTGTTTGGTTCCCCCAATCATTTTCGTTTGGTAAATATCTTCAAATTTTGTTGATTGCTGTCATTGCTGTGGAGTTTTTTATACTGGATTTTTGGAGGAAGGAATGGAACAAGGCAAAGAGCATTCTTTTTGGGTAGTAGTATCTTCATTTTCTTGCCAAGCAGCTATTGGATCTGATCGGGGAATCAAGGCAATCGTGTGTATATCATTTTACCAAAGCTTAAAACTCTTTACTCATTTAACATGGAAGGCCACACTGTTTCAATTTCTCTCTTTACCTTGTCCAAGTCCACAAGGATCATAACATTCTTCTTTCTGAGTGATGATGAGAAAGATGTCCAAAATCAAACCAGATAAGAGTTAGAGATGATGAAAGCAAGGATATAATGTGCCTCAGAGTCGCGAAATTGTGATGAAAGATGCAGTGGGTGAGGAGGAGATAGGAGATTTTGATGATAAGCTTCCTTTTGAGACACTAGCTAGGTCGAATTGGAAGGTGTCTAATGTTAAGTGACTATATGAGTTTTCGGGCTCCCAAAAAATTGTGTAGGTTGGCAGCTCCTTCAAGTCCAGCTTTGGGAGTGCTCTGAAGGCTCTAATTATTCTCTTCTCTAGGTTAACCTATTGGCGAAAAGGTGATACCATTTGCAATTTCATTGATTCACTTCTTGGTGAAGAAGTATTTCATGAGCGTCCCTCATAACAAATTGAAAGATATCACAATGTGTAATTCAAGGGGAGGTTGGTGCGTGATGCTAAAAGGTGAAGACTCCATATTCTTTTGGAACCTTTTGCTAAGAAAACCATTCTACTTCCAAACTTGGCGCCTATTAAATTGGAAAAGGTTTTTGGTTACATCGTCACATGATTCTTCAAATTGTGTTTGTTTTACTCCCTAATCATGATAGCAATTATTTCATTGATTTTATCTTTTAAAATGACATAGTTTCTTTGCAGTATTCTACCACTGGGAATTTAAATTGACTAATCACAATAATCTGATATTCTAGTTTCCAGGTACGAAGGGGAATTTAGTGGCTTTCAGAATGGATGATGAAGAGGGAGGTATTTTTAAAAGGTTAAATACCTAATTTGATCCCTTAACTTTTAGTTTTGGACCAAGTTCGTCCCTGAACTTACTAAATTACCGAATTTGTCCTTAAACTTTATTTTCTCACTGCCAACATGGTCCTTCTGTCGATGGAAGTGTCCAGTTGACACATTAACATGCCATGAATTTATATTTTTGAAATTCAAAGAATTACATGTAAAAAAACCACTGTCACATTGATGATTGAGCAACCTCCACGTATGATCCATATTTCCACATGTAAAATTGAAAAATTGAAGAAGTTAATTTCAAACTTACTCATCTAGGTAAATAATTAAATAATTAAACAAATAAATAATTGAATAATATCAATTAGTTGTAATATATATAATTAAATAATTATCATTTTACAATGTTAATTAAATTCAAATCTTTAAGAAAATTAACAAAATCAAAGAACAAATTTATTTTCCCATGAATTTTCTCTATAACCAAACATTTAGGCTACCCAAAAAATTTGCAAAAAAAATTCATCTCCTTCAATCCAATTCCATCTACATGACATTTAAAGCTTAACTTCAACAATTCAATAAAAACCCATAAACCAATTGGAATTTTTTCTCCATGATATTCTCACCAACCAAACAAATATCTAGATAAACATACCATAAAGCAAGAAAATTTTCATTCAAATTCTCCCAGATTTACCATGAAATCTAAATTTTTTTCCCAAGATTTTCTCACCATGATTTTTCCTCCAACCAAGCAAATACCCAGATCATGGATCATATGCAGGGCTCCATCACAAAGCTTCACACCATCGCCATTGTTTTTGCTAGCCTCCATGAATTATAGATCGATGCTCATCCAGATTAGAGCCATGCCTTTCAAATTGGCATCATTTACCGACTTTTGTTGCTTCACACCCACTTGTGACACCTTGGTTTTGATCAATCAGGAATTCCAAGTCTTTATGTCTCATGCAGATGAACCCATTCCCCAAATCAAACTCATCAAAAATTTTGGGTTCAACAATAAACCCAAATATGAGTGCTGCAACCACCCTAAACACAAAATCTCTGCAACCCCAAACCCGATCTAAGTTAAAACCCCGGACCTAATCTGGGTTGAATCCCCAATCCCAATATGGGTTCTAAATCCCAACTAGAAAAGAAAAGAAGAAAAAAAAAAGGGAAAGAAAAGAGAAATGACGAAGGAGGAAGGAGGAAGGAGGAGAGTGGAGAGTAGAGAGAAAAATGAGAAAGGGAAAGAATGCCGTCACTGGCATTGGTGTCGATGTTGGTGCTGGAGAACAAGGAAAAAAACAAAAATGGTAGAGGGATGGGGTTGAAGATAAGGGGAGGGTTAATATTGTAATTGCATGTTTCTTTTATTAAATTTATTAAAATTATTAATAAATTTATCACTGAATAAAATAATACAAATCCACTAATTGTTTTTAAATTTTAAAGTATGAAAATTTGTTAAATCATCATTTTTTTCCATGTAGTTTTTCTGAAATAAAAGTATTCGTGGCATGTTAACGTCCTAGCTAAGCACTTTCGTCAATGGAAGGACCAAGTTGGTAGTGAAAAAATAAAGTTTAAGGATAAATTTGATAATTTAGTAAGTTTAAGAATGAACTTGGTCCAAAAATGAAAGTTGAGGGACCAAATTAGGTATTTACCCTTTTTAGAATTACTTGAGAAGCCTGAGTATCCTCCGTGACTCCTTCGCCAGAACTTTCAACTAGAATGTGATGGGGAGCTTCTTTCTGTGGCTCTGGCCACAGGCCGGGTTTCTTAGTAAAATGAGTTCTGATTCTCTATTGCATTAAGATGGATTGCTAGTAACAAACACTATAAAAAGCATTATTTATTATCCGTGCATCACGAGGTGTGATGCCTTGTAGTTTATAAACATCAAGTTCAAGCATCCCATTTGATACAACCACCTAATTAGTGTTCATGTAATTAAGTTAACATAATTCTATATGATACCTGCACCAATATAATTAATCCATAGCTACAACAAGCTGCCATGATCATGAACGTAAAACGTGCATCATCCACGTGACATGTCCCATATGAAACTACATAAAAGTGGGTATCAAGAGAGAGGTACACCTCTAAAAGTAAAAATCACTGTAAATAACATGTAGTTTATATAATTAACATCCAATGCAAATATTCCATTAACACAACCACCTAATTAGTGTTCATGTAATTAAGTTCATATCATTCTAGATAACAGCTAAACCAAAATAATCCATAGGTACGATAAGTCAACATAAACTTAAAAACCTGCATCATTCATGTGACATGTCCCAAAAGAAATGACATAAAAGTGGGATCAAGATAAAGTTAAAACTTGTCATTGTGTAGTGAGGACTAGTTGGTGCGATCACCCGAGGATCCAACTGCAGCAGTAGTCTCTCCTTGCATGCCTAGAGATTCATGATGAGGCTCTGCAGGATATACAATAGGGTCATGTAATAACAAATTACTAACACCAAATATACTAAAAAAAAATTAAGACATGGCAAACTCAGTATTAAAATAACTCACTACCTTCACCATATCACGGCAACAAATCCGGTCATCAATTCTAGCAATCCTCGCTCGTGAATTACGGCAACACAATCCCCACTCATGAATGACAGCAACAAGACTCAATCTTGGCAACTATATATTCTGTATTATAGCAGCATATCAGTTACAAATTATAGCAGCATATCAGTTACTGTTTTAAATCATATATACTCCATTATTGTATATATCTTTAGTTTCCTTGTGTAACTACAAACACTTGTATATATTTGGTTCAGCTTTATGAATACAAATTATCGGTTTCCAATTACAAAGCTTGCTCCAATAGTGGTATCAGAGCCAAAATCTCAAACGAGACCAGTACTCGACAACCATGGCTGAGGCAACATCCAAAACCACAGAATCTATCCAGTCAAGCAATGGCAAAACTGTGATAACCACACCTGCTGTTACCAACACTAATAGCAGTTCACACAACATAATAGCTTTCGTTGCTGCCCAATTTCTAGTCAAACTCACCTCAGATAATTACACCATGTGGAGCCGACAATTCACATCATTGCTTCGAGTTTATCGACTGACTGATTTTTTGCAGGGCACCAGGCCATGTCCTCTAGAGGATGACTTACCCGACTCACCATATGATTTATGGGTGAGGCAAGATCAATCAATACAACATGCAATTCTAACTTCAGTGTCAAAATCCATTCACCCATATGTCTCTAGTGCTGAGACGTCACATGAAGCTTGGGTGATTCTTGAAAGGCTTTGTGCAAATAGCTCTCGCACAAGAGTAAATGCATTGAAAGAGAGGCTACAAAACCTTCGATGTGAAGGCTGAGCAGTGGCAGAATATCTTCGCACCGCAAAAATTTTGATTGATCGGATTGGAAACGCAGAAAAGGTACCCCTAAGCAACTCTGATATTCAAGTTTATCTTCTTAATGGTTTGGGACATGAATACAGGGAATTCAAGGCTTCAATTCGAGCCCGTGATGGACCCCCACTGTCATTCGAAGATTTACAGGACAGACTTTTAGCTCATGAAGAGTCCTTACAAAGAGAGGAAGCCCTTGTCAATGATAATAATACACCAATTACAGCACAATTTGCTTCTGTGCATCCTCGCATAGTTGGGAACCACAACAGTTATGGTGGCTTCAGTGACCAAAATTCAGTAGGTGGTTATCAAAATTCTAGAGGACTCTAGGAATACTCAAACCGATCGCCTAGACCCAATTCTGGCACCAACCAATATGTTCCAATGGGCCGTGGAGGAGGCCGAGGACACCGTGGAGCTTGAGAAGGAAAAAATAATCGGAATTCCCTCAACAGGTATAATAATCGCAATACTAATGCCTGTCAATTGTGCAACAATTTTGGACATTTTGCTAGGGACTGTCCAGAGCTCAAAAATCATGCCCATATTGAAAATCGTGCATGTGGGCTTAACACAAGGCTTGCATCCAACCTAAAATCAATTGGCAATAGGTGGAGTAGCTTTCCTTGTATTTAACCCACAAACTTCTTATTTTTATACTTGACGTGGGATTTTCCCACTTAACATGCCCCCTCACGTGTAGACCCGCTATGAATGTCGGGTCCTGTCACGTGGATTAACACGCCCTCTTAAATGCAGGTCCGATATCAACTTTGGGTCCTGTCAGGTGGGCTAACAACGGGCTTCCCATGGTAGAACCTGGGCTCTGATATCATATTGAAAATCGTGCATGTGGGCTCAACACAAGGCTTGCATCCAACCTAAAACCAATTGGCAATAGGTGGAGTAGCCTTCCTTGTATTTAACCCACAAACTTCTTATTTTTATACTTGATGTGAGATTTTCCCACTTAACACACCAGTTGTAGTAGAATTCATGGCACCCGAGGCAACATTTGAGGATCCTGCAGGTTAAAGAAAAAGTTAAAACAATAATATTCCATAATTAGAAGAATGTCAAAAAATACTATAATAATGCAGCAAAATATATACATACCGGTCAAATTTCGAATCGAGTGTTACATCCTTTTGAAATTTGGGAGAAAGAGTTGAAAAGATTCAGATAAAGGGCAGTAGAAGGAAAACACGAAGTAGTCTAAAACTTTTGAAAACATGCACATAATGTGTGGCTTAGGGGTGGAATCTGGGCCCATTTCTGGGTACGCGTAAGGCTGTGATGATAATAATAGAGGAGAATCTATTTTGTTGATGTACACCATGTCATGTTTAACTTCTGTTTATGCCTAATTTTGTTATGAAATGCTTATGCTAACAGTCATGACTTGATCAGTACATTGCTAATTATCTAAATTATGCATAAGAGAAATCAGTCATGAGCATTTCTATTCCTCTTTTAAATTCAGTAGGTTGTTTTTAGCATGTAATAAAATTGACTAATAACTATATAGGGCTCAGTTATAGCTCGAAGGCAAGCTCACCGTTTTGTATATCATCTCATTTCAGACTAGCTAGCTTAAGAGGTGTGTCAAGTGCAGCTGACATCGATCCTCCTACTTCAGATTAGTAATGCAAACCTGTAAATTAACCAAAACTAGAATTTGGATCCATTATTTAATTAGTAGGCTTTTCCTATTTAGTTAAGCTTCTACTATATCTGTTTGTAAACACTTATGCTCATCTACTTTCCAGTTACATGCAGTCTTTTTGTTAAACCTTTGTTTGACGCTGAAACTTATTAGCTATTTCAGTCGTGTACAAGCTAGCTTAACAAGACTGTATTCTCTTTCAATAACTTACATACGTATATTTATAGCTATATGTGATTCCAGACACAGCATTAGCTTATCTAATTACTGTTATTCTTGCGCTAAGCTTTTCCTCTGCACTAAGATTTTAAATGCTAAAAACTACTGTACCAAATTGTGATGGAATATAAATGCAAAGGTGATGAGGTGCCCATGATGAGGTCGAGGCCTCCTTGTCATGAGCAGGCCTCGTCATTTGTATTTGTGTACCTTCGTTGGTGAGAACAGAGATCCTTGAGTAGCCAGTGCAGCGGCTGACTGACGGTAATTCTGGCGAGCTTCAGCCGTAAACCCACCAGTTGGGGGACGACTTGGGGGACGACTTGGAGTGGTGTAGGCAGTTTCAGGCCTTTTGCCCCTATAGTTTCCATCCAGCTCCTGCTCTCTTTTTCTCTTTAACTCCTCTACTCGCTCAAATGAGGTTCCCATTGCTGCCACGTTCAAAACAAGAGTTAGCCCACAAAAATTAAGGCAGCATAGGGCACTTAATACAGCCCCAGGTGAGCTAGCGAAGTGCCCCAAAATCCTTGGTCATGCCAAGGGTTCAAGTTGCTGTAGTGACAATGGTAAAATCCCCACTTCCCCAGGACTACTAGAATTCACCATACATAGAGCTACTTCAATTCACAGCAGTGACATCCTCTAGTCCTTCCGTTTGAATCATTTCAAGATTCTGCGAGCTACTTGAGTGACACTTTCTAGTCCCCCAGTTTGAAGCATTTCAATTCCAAGGTCCAGCAGGTTAGGAAGATATTAAAACATTAGTAGCTTTATAATTAGCAATGTCAAAAGCATAAATGCAACATAACATCTATATATATAACACCAACAGGTCCTGAAAGTTAATAAATTAAAATTAAGTTAAAACACTAATTCCATGGGAGATACTAATTACAACATCTTAAAACACTATATCATCTTGGAAGTGGAACCTAAGAGTAGGAAAGAGTCAGATAAAGAGTGATATAATTAATGTATTAAATTCTACCAAGAAAGGAAGTTTGGAAGGATCCCACACTTCACAAAGCTTCTTGAATTCTTCATTGAATTTTCTTTCAGTTTATATATTTTTTAGCTCTCTGGTTCTCTGAATCATTTTCCTTTGGTAAATATCTTCAAATTTTGTTGGTTGCTGTCATTGCTGTGGAGTTTTTTATACTGGATTTCTGAAAGGAGGAGTGGAAGAAGGTAAAGAGCATTCTTTTTGGGTAGTACTAGTATCTTCGTTTTCTTGCCAAGCAACAATTCTTGGATCGGATCGATGATTGAAGGCAATCGTGTGTATTTCATTTTATCAAATCATAAAAGTCTTTATTCAGTCAACTTGGAAGACCAGGCTGTTTCAGTTACTTTCTTTCATTGCCTTGTCCAAGTCCAACAGGATCATGGCATTGTTCTTTTTGGGTGACGATGAGACAGATTTCCAAAATCAAACCAGGTATGACCTAGATGATGAGAAAAAGAATATGAAGCCTTAGAGTCGTGAAATTGTGATGAAAGACACAGTGGGTGAGGAGGAGAAAGGAGATTTTGATAAGCTTCCTCTTGACACACTAGCTAGATCGAATTGGAAGGTGCCTAATGTTCGGTGACTATATGAGTTTTTGGGCTACCTACAAATTGTGTAGATTGGCAGCTCCTTCAAGTCCAGCTTTGGAGTGCTCTGAAGGCTCTCCTCTCTTGGTTAACCTATTGGCGAAAAGGTGATACCATTTGTAATTTCATTGATCCACTACGTGGTAAAAAGTATTTCTTGAGCATTCCTAATAATGGATTAAAAGATGCCACAATGTGTTATTCAGAGGGAGTTTGGTGCGTGATGCCAAAAGGTGAACAATTCATAATCATTTGGAATCTTTTTGTTAAGAAAATCATTATGCTTCCAAACTTGGCACCATTTAAAAGTGAAGAGGTTTCTGGTTGCATCTTCACCTAAATCTTCATATTGTGCAGTACTTTCTAATCACGATGGCAGTTATTTCGTTAATTTTATCTTCAAAAATGGTGATGGGAAATGGACCAAATGGCGTAGTCCCTTTGTAGTATTCGAACGCTGAGAATTCAAGATGACTAATCACAAAATGTCAATAATCCAACATTTTATAGTTGTCAATTCTACATTCTTGGTATGAAGGGAAATTTAGTGTCTTTGAGAATGGATGATGAACAGAAGGTATTTTTTTAAATCAGTCGAGAATCCTTAGTGACCTTTGTTAGCCCTTTCACCAAAACTTTGTATTAGAATGTGATGGGGAGCTTCTTTTCTTGTTTGTGGCTTTGTTAGGACAATGGGTTTAAATTTCTACACTGCGTTACATTAGGATGGATTATAAGCAACAATACACTAGAATACATTATTAGCTACCTGTGCAATGCACAGTGTGATACCTTGTAGTTTATATAAGTAACATCAAGTTCAAATATCCCATTCAACATAACCACCTAATTGGTGTTCATGTACTTAAGTTCGTCTCATTCTAAATAATAGCTCAACCAACACAATACATATTAACAATAAGCCAACATAAAGTGGGATCGAGGTAAAGTTAAAACTTTTCATCGTGTGGAAAGGACTGGGTGGTGGGACCACCAGAGGATCCAGCAGCAGCAGTTCGTCCTTGCATGCCAAGAGGGTCATGATGAGGCTCTGCAGGAGGGACAACAGGGTCATGTAATACCAAGTTACTAACTCCAGATATACCTAAAAAAAAATAATAATAATAATTAGGACGCAGCAAACTCAGTACTGAAATAACTCACCACCTCCAGTTGCAGTTGAATTCATGGCACCTGCAGTCAATGGCATAATCCATGTAGTGCTGGACTGCAATTCTCCTTCACAATATCCTGCAGGTTAGAGAAACAATTAAAATAATAATATTCCATAATTAGAAGAATGTCAAAAATACTATATTAATGCAGATCAATATATCTATACCCGTGATATATGCTGTCCACATTTCAAGGTCCGGTGAGTCAAGTAAAATATCCATATCAAAGAATTCATTTGTTCCATGCTTCTGAAATTTAAAAGAGAGTTGAAAAGATTCAGATAAAGGGCAGTGAATGAAGGAAAACAAGCAAGGGGCGGAATCAGGGCCCATTTGTGGGTGCATAGGGCTGTGATGAAAGAGTACATTATAATAAAACCCATAAAGAAAAGGTGAGTGGTTGGAACTTGGAAGGAAGTAAGGCACAGATAATCACACCATCAAAACTTCTTCAAGCTTCTTTAATTCTTCCTTGAACTCTTGTTCTTCCTTTTTCCTAGAGTTTTTGAACATGTCAGTAGTTCTTGGCTCCTCACCAAAGGCCTTGTATTCTTTGGGTTGAAACTGCATTTAAAATTAAAACAGAATATATGGGGATTTTTTAGGAATTACATCAATCATTCAAAACAATATAGATTTAATCATTAATATGAAATCATTTTTGCACCTGGCCCTTCGGGCCACGTGGCCTCTGGCCACCTTGAGGTGCACCCCCTTCCCCCCTTGGGCAGGTTCAAGCCCACCCCATGACAACATTGTTCAAAAAAATATGAAATCATTTTTTCCCACAAATAAACTATTATATTGTAGAGAAATAAACTCATCCATTATTACAACACAAATAAACAGATCTTAAACAGTAGAACCTATAGAAAATTCTCAAAATAACATACAAGAAAACTATGCCCATAACAAAACATAGAGCAGTTTCTGGAGAAAAAGTTTGCTGCAGCCCTAGGCCAGGAAAGTAAGAGGGAAGGTGAAAACTCAACTGTAAGCTCAAGGGCTCATCACCTAGTCATGGGAGCTTCCTTTTTATCTTATTTATTTTGGGAGCAGTTTCTCTCATGAGCTTTTATATTGCTCTTTTAAATTCAGTAAATTGTTTTTAGCATATATTAAAAAGAACTAATAACCATATAATGCTCAGTTATACCTTGAAGCCATAATCTATTATCTGATTGCTTACCTCCACAAGATTGTACACACTAACCTCATTTTTGCTTCCTAGTCCAAGCTCATCACCAGTGAACTTCCTCAGCTCCACCTGTGGAGGTGCCAATGATGAGGTTGAGACCTCCTTATCATGAGCAGCCTCCCTCATTTGTATTTGTGTACCTCCATTGGTTGAGAACAGAGGTCCTTGAGTAGCCAGTGCAGCCACTGACTGACCATAATTCTGGTGAGCCTCAACCACAAACCCACCAATTGGGGGACGACTTGGAGTAGCGTAAGCAGTTGCAGGCCTCTTGGCCCAACGTGCTTCATCAAGTTCTTCCTCTCTTTTTCTCTTTAACTCCGCTGCTTGCTCAAATGGGGTTCCCATTGCTGTCATATTCAAAACAAAAGAGTTAGCCCCCAAAAAATTAAATTAAGGCAGCAAAGTACACTTGCAGGTTGCAGCCCCAGGTGGGCAGGCAATGTGCACCAAAATCCCTTGGCCCATGCCAAGGTTTAAGTCGCTGTAGCGACAATTATAAAATCCCCACTTCCCCAGAGCTAATTGAATTCACTATACCTCCAAAGCTACTTGAATTTCACAGCAGTGACACCCTCTAGTCCTCCTGTTCGAATCATTTCTCAAGGTTCTGCAAGCCACTTGAATTCATGGCAGTGACACCTTCTAGTCCCCCTGTTTGAAGCATTTCAAATCCAAGGTCCTGTAGGTTAAGAAAATGTTAAAACACTATTAGTTCTATAATTAGCAATGTCAAAAGCATAAATGCAACATAACATCTATATATACCTCATCCAAAGTTACCAACAGGTCCTGCAAGTTAAAAAATTAAAATTAAAAAAAAAAAGAAGTTAAAATGACTATACTAATTACAACACCATCAAAAGATAGAGCAGCAAGCTTTCTATACCTTTGAAAAAATCTGCATTTGAATTTCCTGCTGGTTAAGAAAAAATTAAAACAGAAATTTCAGAAATAGAATAATGTCATCATTATTAAAGGATAATGCAGCAAAATATTCCCAACCTCATCAAAGTATTGGTTTGCTAAATCTTCCTGGAACTGGAATTTAAGAGTTGGAAAGAGTCAGATAAAGAGTGATGTAATTAATGTATTAAATACTATCAAAAAAGAAAAGATGGTTGGAAGGAAGTACCTCTATAGCTTTCCTAAGCTTCTCCAATTCTTCACTGAATATTCTTTGTTCCTCTTCCTTAAAATACATTAAAACAAAGATTAGTTAAATAATAAATCAAGGGAAAGGGGAGTGAAAATGTATTGTTCAATCTTGTCAACTGCATTTATATATATATATATATATATATAATTACTACTGCATAAAGAAAAGTTTTGGATAAGAAACTCATGAGAAAGATCATCACACCTTTAAATGAAAGGTTTTGAACTCCTCAGTAATTTTCTCATCCTCACAAAATTTCACAAACAGATCTCACCCTTTCTGCAGACTAATGAATTCACTCTACAAATATATAATTCATACAGAAATCCTTAATTACAAAGAAAAATTGTCACTAAATTCAACTAAATAACTTGTACCTGACAATACACAAAATAAACCTTACAAACAGTAAACAGAACTCTGCAAACTACCCCATAAAACTCCAGAGCAAGCTGCTTGGCCTCTAACACTCATCATCTGTTATTCTAACAACCTTCTTATCTTGGCTACACTCAAGGACAGAAACTGAACACAATCAATTATGGAAAACATATACATGCAACACTTTCCTGCTTCCTCTTTAACCACACAGACTACTTGATGACCTGAATTAATTCACAAATTCTGCTTTTCTCCCATTGATCATTATCTAAGAACATCTCATTTCTATCATTCCAAATCAACCACATAATAATCAACCAAGAAAACTATGCCCCAACCTTAACATTATATATACCTATCAAACATCCCATAGACAAAATGTAGACAACAAGCATCAACGGTATCAGTTCAAAACAGAGCTAGATCCCCTCCAAGAGTACAACATCTCATCCAAAGACAAAGAGACTGAGTACATTCTAGAAATATATGATTCATATCCTCTCCATCAACACCAAAAAGAAAGAAAAAAAAAAAAAGAAGAAAAAAAGAAAAAAAAAAACAGATAATTGAACAAAGACCTCTTTTAATCAAACCATTAGGTATGCATTTAAATGTTGACGTAATTAATGCATCTCAAGCGATAAATAAAACAAATTAAAAGAGGATAGACTCAAGAGCAACGATTAATAAATTCTTCTTGATGTCTTTAGGGTTGCTGGGATTGTGGAATTAAAGAAAAAAAATCTTTGATGATGTGTAAAAATAGGTAAATCAAAGCAATTTATGTGATGAGAACCAATGGGGAACATTTTACTTGAGATCCTTGCTGAGGAGGCAGCAAAAGGCGACAAGCCATCTAACACATTTAAGCATCAATCTCTCGATCAAGTAGCTGAAACCATAAGCTCGAAATTCGGTGTTGAATGTGTGACTACTCATGTGGAGAAACAACTAAAGACAATAAAATCTACATGTAATATTATTACAACACTTCAGAACAAAAGTGGATTTAGATGGGATAACAAACTGAAAATGATCAATGTTGACTTAGAAGTGGCAGATCAAGAAGTGACAGTACATTTATACTGCCCCTAGAGGACATAATCTCTCTCTACTAGTTGCTTTCTAAGAGCCCACAAGCTTTTTACAGTGCTTCATTGTACAAAAGATACTTCTTTTAATCTTAAACACTTGTTACTTTAGGAATTTTTTCCATTGGTTTTTATTTCTAAATTTTTCTTTCTACTAAACCTTAATAGCTTCTAATGGTAATGATATCAGTTACTTGAATACGATATGATTGAGTGAGTGTTTTTTTTTTTTTTTTTTTTTTTTTTTTTTTTTTTTATGGGAATCATGATGAATATGCTATAAAGAAAACCAGAGCTGCATTTACTTGGTAAAGAATTGCAAATGCTAGAATGAAGCTAATTAAATAAAAATCTAGCCCAAGGCCTCGAATTTGACATAGACCTACCAGTAACTATGCCTGGACTGCAAACTACTAAGCTTGGTTCTGATATTGGCTACCATATACCGAAAAGCTAAATCAACATCAATTGAACCACTAAAAGCTTTTTATCTGATCTCATTCTGAATGCCACAAGAGCTCTGTGAATGCTAGCTACCCTGTTTTTACCAGATTACTAGTGTTCACTAAGGCTATGCAAGCTCAATTTAAGAATTTTCCTTATGTAAGTTACAAAGCATTCTGGTGGAATTTTAAATCCAATTTGATTGAATATATGCATGCTAAGGTTTTTTAGTCACAACTCATACCATAAGGACTACTAAAGGGTCAGAGCTTAAACTTGTATCACAAAATATGCCATTCTCCAATAGACCAAAATCATCAAATAATAGAGTACGTATTTATTAATTATTACCTTTATAAATGTCCACAATCTTTTCACAGTTAAAATGCATTCCTATAGAATTATTGAGATTGAGAGAGGAAAAACATCCAAAGTTGTCATCAGCAGGGTATCTTCATAATCATCTCCTAATAATGAATCAATTTTAGCACTATAAGCACTCCCTATCCATTGAAAGACTTATATAAAGAATTGGACATTAATTCTCCCAATCAATGCAATGACAGAGTAAAGAGCATCTCCAAATAATTAAGAAAGAGAGGCTCAACACAAGATCATGCCTTTAATTAGTACTATTCTCCACATATTGTACATTCTTATTTACTACTCTATAATTAATTAGTACAATACATATGAAAAGCAAAAACACAAGGACACTTCCCTCAAACCAGCACCATGTATAGCCAAAC